GGGGGGCGAAGATCGAAAGTCGGGGAGGGGAGGTTGCGCGGGAGCGAGATCGGAGTCGCGATGAAGAAGAAGAAGAAGAAGAAGAAGAAGAAGAGGAAGAGGAAGAAGATACAAAAAAGAAGAGGAGGAAGAAGAAGAAGATCATGAAAAGAAGACCAAGATGAAAAGGAGAAGAAGAAGAAGAAGAATTGAAGAGGAAGAAAAAAATAAGAAAAATAAAAATAAAAAAAATTGTCGTCGATTACTTATCTACGCGGGGAAGCAACGACAATGACGAGGATGGCACGGAGTGGCGACGAGGACGATCGGCACAGCGATGGTGACGTGGCACGGCGACGACCATCGAGATGATGATGACGTGGCACGATGACGGTGAGGACGTGGCACTGCGACGACGATCACGACGATGATGCTGATGATGGCCAGGTGATGGCAACGGAGCAGGGTGGGTCGGGCGGGTTCGAACCGCTCCGATACCAGTGTGACGGGCGTGAGGCTGAGGGTGAGCCGAGGGAGAGGAGACAGAGAGGGAGAGAGTGAGAGCACACAAACACACTCACTCACTCGACACGACTGACTCGGACTGAGGGTCGGACGCAGACACAGTGGCAAGGCACAAAGTCGAAGTCTTGGATTCCAAATGCCGAAACAGCAAGTCACACTGAGTACGAGTACAGCAACAGAAAACTGGTATGAGACTGGTCCCGTACCGTACGGGAAGCCGGTATAAGTACCGGAGACACGTACGGTTCTAAGGGCATTTCTGCAAAGGCCCCGAGGGCAGAACTGGAAAATGCGGTATTTGAAAGTGGCGCCCGAATTGCAGCATGGCGCCAGAGGAGGGGTTTGGAAAAAGGGTGCCAGGCCGAAAACGGGATGCAGCCGAAACATCAAAGAGATAGACCAGGGATCGATCCCTGGCGGAGTCTGTAACACAGTCGCCTGTCCCACAAATGCCAAGCGGAAAACCCAGTTGGGAAGTGAGCACCGCCGAGAGCGATGCGGCCGCACTCTCCACGCCTTTGGAACTGGTTGCTGCGCAAGTGACCTCCCTTAGTTCCGAGGCATATGTGGAAGTCGACAATCCTCCCATTCTCTATTCTTACGAGGACTGTGCTGCCCGGCTGGGCACTCATGCTCAAGGACAAGATGTGTGTGTGGTTTCTTCTCCGTCAGGAAGCGGCGACAATTTATCGTCTCCAAGTGGTTCTTCACGGGATTCGGCGTGCGAGTTGAACATAGAGGTCTTGGACCCATTGATGTCGGACGATTTCACATGGCTTCCTCGCCCCACCACAGGCCGCTTACCGGGACCGCAATGCGCAGCACTATGCACTCATCTCCACACATACTTAGCCTTCTATGCACCACCAACTTCGCCGACGGATGACAAAGTTGCGGTGGGGGACATCCTTGCCAATGTTACCAAGGTGGCCCGTGAGTTTCACACGCAGCAGTACAATGACAACAACGCACCTCTCCTTTACATCCGCATCCAAGTTGGGCAAGCGTCCGGCAGCGCTTTGGCATGACGCACAAGTTCGAAGGGCCGACCTTGGCGCACAAGTTCAAATGAAGGCCAACCCCACGATAGTCAAGTTGGGGGACAGTCGGAAGCAAATACTCATTGACTGCTACATCGAAGTCGTAGCAGTTTATTTCGCACCTCAGGCATGCGAACCGGTGCCGTTCGACATCTTGGACCAGGCTTCAACATCATGTTGGGGATGCCTTGGCTTGCAAGTGCGGATCACACGGTCAACTTCCATCGGCGGACACTTACAGTTCGTGATGCCTTTGGCGCCGAGGTGTCGTATACTATTCCTCACCCTTCGATCCGATGCCAAGTTGTGACGGCCAAGTCGTTTCGGGTCACTTGTGCTTACAAGCAGCCCGACGAAATCGGCCTATGTTTCTCCGAACCGTCGCGGTAGCCGACTCTTTACCCACGAACTTGTCTTCGGACCCCCGTGTGGTGCGGCTACTTGACGAGTTCGCCGACATCTTCGAGTCTCCCACTCGTGTGGTGACAGGATCGGCCGATCTCCCCCGGATCATTCTTGAGGTCGGTGTTGTGCCTCCGAAAGGTTGCATCGATCGCATGAGCGAGGAGTAGATCCCGGTTCTCATCGCCCAACTCGATGATTTGTTGGAAAACGGTTGGATCCGCCCTCGTAGCTCACTATATGGTGCGCCAGTTCTGTTCGTACGGAAGAAGAACAAAAATTTGTGCATAGACTATTGCAAGCTCAACGCACAAACCGTCAAGAATGCCGGCCCTCCTCCTCGTATCGGCGACCTTCGTGAGCGTTTGGGCAGTTGGATTTGAGGTCAGGCTATCATCAGATTTTGATACGCTCGAATGATCGTGACAAATCCGCGTTCAAGACGCGGCAGGGGCATTTTGAGTGGGTGGTCATGCCTTTTGGCCTCACCTATGCCCTGACGACTTTTCAGGCGGCGATGACCAGCGGGTTTTGAGCGATGTTGGACTGGTTTGTGCTGGTCTACTTGGACGACATCCTCCTCTGTAGTCCGACCTGGGAGGACTATCTTTAGCACCTTCGACGCTTGTTGGAGACGCTCCGCCGCGGCAAAAACAATGCCAACCGTGACAAGTGCGAATTTGTCTGGCAAGAGTTAGTACTTAGGCCATTTTGTCACACCAGAGGCCATCAGTCCGTTATCAGACAAGATTCAAGCCGTCCAAGAGTGGTCGAAGCCGTGGGACGTTACGGATGTTCGTTCATTTCTTGACCTTGCCGGCTACTATCAACGCTTTATAAAAAGCTATTCAAAAATCGTGACCAACTTGACCAAGCTTGTTACGGACTCCGCCAGGGCTCGATCCCTGGTCCATCTTTTTGCTGTTTCGGCTGCATCCCGTTTTCGGCCTGGCACCCTTTTTCTAAACCCCTCCTTTGGTACCGTAGGATTCTGGACAATTGGCGCCATGCTGCAATCCGGGAGCCACTTTCAAATTCCACATTTTTCAGTTCTGCCCTTGGTGCTTTGCAGATTTGCCCCCGGTACTTATACCGGTGCCCCGTACAGTACGGGGACCAGTTTTGCATTCAGCTTGGAACAAGATTTGAGACGTCGTTTTCATGTGCAATGTGACTCACTGCTACTCTGGCCTTCAAAACCAAGACTTCAACTTTGTGCCTCAGCCTCTGGTTTGCGTCCGGTCGAGTTCACTCGCGTGAGTGAGTGAGTGTGTGTGTGCTCTCATTCTCTCTCTCCCTCTGCTCCCGCCTCGTCCTCTGCCTCTGCGCTCGTCACACTCGTATCGGAGCAGCTCGCTCCCCCATCGCTGTCGTAACCTTCGCCGCCGCCGTGATCTTCGTCATTGTCGAGACCTTCGTAGCTGCTGTCACTACCGCTGTCGCCGTGATCTTGCCTCTGTCGTGGTCCTCGCCGTCACCATGATCTTCATTGCTGCCTTGATCCCCGTCGTCGTCACTGCCAGGTAAGCAACAATTTTTTTATTTTCATTTTTTATTCATCTTCTTCTTCTTCCTCTTCTCCGATCCGCTATCCTCCCCCCGTTCCTACGTTACCCCCAGGCTGAAGCCCCGACCTATTCCCCCCGACATCCAACCACCCCCTTCGTCATACTTCGTTCCCCCCACCTTCTCCCCCCGCGCGCCCTTCCCGCGCAATCTCCCACTCCCCGAGCGACCTTTCCCCCCCCTCTCTGTGCCATCTTTCCTCCCCGCCCACCCCTCCGACTTCCTTTCCCCCCCCCGCTTCGAGACTC